CAAGACCAACAGCATCGCATTCCAGAGCAGACAAAAGGGCGTGGAGCGCCCAAGAAAGTCGGAAAATCTTCACCCAACCGTAGGCGACTCCACTCAAGTTAGCTGAAGTAAACCGAGCTGAAATGACTGACTCACTACTGACAACGGAGCTGAGAAATCCGAAGGTTGGCTGCCTGGCATGCGTAGATAAATTGAGTTGAATGGAGCGCTACTGATTGGACTTACGATCCAGGCTGTTACAACCACCTGTATTCCCTTCGTCGCCAACATCAACACCGCCGCCACTGTCTCTTTCGGATTTTCAATTATGGTTAATCATGCAAATGTTTGTCGCCTGTGAAAATGTTTTACATAATGCAAACTGAAAAGCTGCATGGCCATTCAAGCCATTCTCTGAAGAGTTTCAAGCCAAGCCAGAGCATTATAGCCCAATGCATACATGAATAATTGTCTTTTTGTGTGTCCATCTTACAGCTGCTACTTCGACTGTATCTGTATCCCCTGGATATGGGATATGATGAGCTGCTGCTGCTGCCGCTGCTGCTGCTGCTGCTGCTGCTGCTGCTGCTTCTGCCGCTGCTCAGGTAAGCCGAGCAATTTTTGCTGCCTGATTTCACAACTCCGACACCAGAGTGTCAGGTTGGTTGTGTGTGGCACATTCCCATCTTCTCCTAGCCAAAAATCCTCTTCGTTCTGGCCTTTGCTGCGTTTTGGGATTAGAAAACCACCCCGAAACGTGTCACATTATGCGAAGATGGAGATAGGAGACATGTGTCCTGTCCCTCCTGAAACCGATTTTGGTTTCGGGATTAAAGGAGAGAATGTCCGTCGGTCTAAAGGCATGTATCTTCATTGAACCAATGCGAAATACCTGTAAAGGTAACTGGGCATCGAAAATGCTGCAATCGAAGAAGATTTGCAGTGGGTGGAAGCAGCACAAAGTAATTTGAAAGTGGTTAGGAAAATGATCTTTTGGAATCCCCAGGAAATGAACAGTTTTGTTGTCATTCTCTTTGGTCTTTGAAATGCATTGAGGGTTCATTCTAATCTTTATTCATTAATACATACTTAGAAGTAATTGGAATTCCTTAATTTACACCATCAGCAAAAAGATTGGTTTCTTTGCATAGTAATTGTTATGTTATGTTACTATTATTACACAATTGGCTGGGAGTAATTATTTTTTAGAAGTACATTTAATCCAATTTAATTCTTTAAATATTAGCTGCCTTGCACACTTTTCCGCAGCACATCGAGGAAAAGTTCAGTTTCGTGCCAACTCTAATGTATTAGAGGTAATTTATCAACTTTTAATCAAATGTATTTTCCATTCCTACATGGAGATGCTACCTTCTGTCCCGCCACATATAATATATGTTCGTTGCTCATGCCATTACGTGGTGTTACGCAATCGCCACCCCAAAAATGGCTGGCAAACTACCCCTACCCAACTCGGCACCCCTGCTCTACGGCATTGCTGATCCTTTATAGTTTTTACATGCATTCCCATGCGTATTCCATGTGAGTGTGTTTGTGTTTGAGTGTGTGTGTGTGTGTGTGCCATTTGGTCATAAATTCAAAAAGCTGGCCCAGCTTAAATTTTGGTTTTTCAATTTTTGAATGCCAGACCTCTGACAACCCTCGGATCCATGGGTGCCACCATCTCCTTCCCCGGAGGACCAGCATCTCGCATAGTTGTGCGTGCAACTGTGAAACGTGTTACAGGACCGGCCAATGTCCTCTATTCCCCCCCCATCCCCCATCACCCAACCCATCCCCTCTTGATCCATCCGAAAACCATGAGATTTCATTTAATTAAAGCATTTAGGCGGCAGGGGTTTTTCGGTTTCGAGTTGACTCCATATGTGCGTTGAATATATTAAATATATACCAAAAACACAATCCCTTCCAAAGGACATCCACATTGAGCACCTAAACAAATATGTTAGGGAAAAAAGTGCAGCTTAAGAAAGGTTAAACAAAGGTTAAGCTCGGAGAGCAAAAGGTTCTGAGGTTTAAGCCTTGCGGCCCGCAAGCCAACTCATCAAAGTTATTTAGTTAAAATTAGTGCCTGTCGAGGATGTCTCCCCAATATGCCAAAGCAAACAAGACGACGCAGAATCATCGAATAGCTCGAGGGCCTGGCAAAGGACACGAAAACGGTTCGAGTTCGAGTTCGGTTTCGGGTTGGGTTGGGGATTTGCGGGGACAATGTCGTGCCGCTGACAAGTGCGATGACAACGTCAAAGGCTGGCTGGCTGACTGGCTGGCTGGCTCTTCTCCGAGCCCGAGCTGCATGCTCCATGCCCGACTAGCTGCGAGGCACCTTTGGGAAAAGAGACGCTCATCTGGAAAATCAACTTCGACTTTCGGGCCACCCAGGCATCCACCAAGGAGCAGAAGATGCAGAAGATGCAGCTTCAGCAGCAGCAACAGCAGCATCAACGAACCGCAAATCATAAAATAAACTCTTTAATTACGCCTCACGACTTGCCGGAGCAGACACGCAACAAGCCGAAGCCACAGCCAAATGGAAAATTATGCAAAATGCAACAGCAGCAGAAGCAGCAGCAACAGAAATTGCTGCACAGCAGCAACAACGCCACAACGGCAGCAGCAACAGCAACAGCAACAGCTGTGGGGAGCCACTTCCGAAAATGTGAGTAAAATTATAAAATCTTTGGCACGACCATGTTGACGACGACAAAACTGCAAATTACCAAATTATAAGCGAACAGCAAAAAACAAACTGCCAAACAGCAATAAAGGAAGAATTTTAGGGTATCGAAATTGAAAATTGTTTTTACTAAAAAATAAAGTGGTAATTATTTGGTAGTTCTTAACTCGAAACTTAAAACTATAAACAGAATAATCATAGGAAACAACAAAGTTCTCAATTTTAATTACAGATTATAATGTAAATATACAAATATATTAAAAAATGTAATTTCGCAAATAATATTATAATATATTTGTTTAAATGTTTTAAAAGTCAAATGTCAGTCTCAAGGTAATTTATTTTACCTTTTTTTTAGCTACGAACGCAAAATAATAACAAAAAATGTTTCCAACATCTATTTGGCTGCCGATGATGAGGCAAGGTAATTTGGTTTTTCTATTTAACTATTTCCTCACTATGAATACATCTTAAAGAGGTAAAGGGTATTCCAAACAATATTCCCAAAATTCATTTGGCTGTCGATGATGAGTCAAAGTGGCTGCAATGGATAATCCCAAGGAGGAAGTGAGAATATCAAAAATGCACTCGGACTCTCGCACACTCAGCATGGATTCCAAATGGGGGGGAGGGGAGCGGACAGGCGCCCCCTGCTGTAAAGCTCATTTAAACAACCTGTACCTCCCCCAACCGCATTCCCCAAGAAAACTCCCTCCTGCGCTTGGCACCCACTCGATTATCACCGAAAAACGATTGACCTCACGAATTCGTAATTAATTTTCACAAAAGTTTTCCATTCGAAGACAAACTTCAAACAAAAGGCTGCAGCATCGCTCTCTGTGTGTGTTTCGGTGTGTTTGAATCTGTGTGTGGATTGGTTCAGTTTGGGTTCAGTTTTTGGTATTGCTTTTGTGGAGCCCCCCCCCAGTCCCCTTTCCACTTTTTCCTGCGGCTGCCACAATGTTTAAACATTTGAGCGCACACATCTCTGTGGGGGGGCAAAGTGAATGCCGTTGCCCAGCTCATCTCCTCCGATTTTGGAGCCCGATCCCGATCCCCCTCTCAATCAGTTCCACCGGCACCACCTCTGCTGGCCCCCTTTTCACCTGGTCACTGGTTGCTTAGTTTGCCAGTTGTGTGTGTCGCTTAAGTGCTGAAACAATGTTCCAAGTTGTAAGTGCAACAAGGGAACCCAGTAACAACATGGCAGCGAACGAAGCCAAAAACCCAAACTGAACTGAACTGAACTGAACTGAGCTGAAACCCGGAGGAGTGCACCAAAAATAAAGTGTGTAAAAATGAGCAACTTTTTCAAGTGAGAAGCAACTATGTGGCATGCAGCTAGAGCTGCACGCTCGCATCTCGGGCGACAACGACGACAATGACTGGCAGATTTGGTCAGGCATACACAAAGAAAAATATTATTAAAGGGTATTAAAAATAATAATATAAAAAACAAAGGTTCTGAAACAAATTGATCAAACTAATTATGCTTACCAAAAAAGTTTAACTCTTCGAGCTTTGTTTTATTGCTTATGTTTTTAAAATTAAACTATTATTTCGATGTTGCCATTTTTTAAAGAAGTGCATATTAATATTTTTGAGTGTTTAATTAAGTGAAAAGTATAAGCCTGATCTACGAAAGAATTTTTGAAGTCTTTAGAACTTGCAAAGTTTATAATACTTTTTTGTTGACAATATTTTTTCTGTGCCACAACGACTCGAAACATTTTTCGCGCAAACTCGCCAAGATACAAAAATTTCACTCAGCCCGAGGAGACCCCCTTTCCCCATTTTCCCTACTCTTTCCACCCCACCCACACTTTCCCCTCCCACATCTCCTCATGAATGTGTGCACAATTTTCAAACTGGCAGCGTAAAGTGCACAAATTGCAATTGTAGCTGGGGCGCGGGAATCAGGACAAGGCAGGGACAGGGTGACAAAGGGGGCGTGGGACAGGGGCAGGGAAAATGGGAGACAGGACAGTTGGATGGTTGGGGGAAACAACTGGAGTGTGTGGAGGCGTCGTCGATTGTAGGCCCAAGCCAGACATGGTGGGCTCTTCAGCAAGAGCAACTACAGCGGCAGAAAGAAGTACTCTCCCCCAGTACAGTGAACACTTGACGTCGAGGCCATAAGACATTAATTGCAGGCTTAAGAACAAAAAACCAACAAAATGGTCAATTCAATTACGAAACAAGCAAACAGATGGTAACCTATGGTGAAATGATTAAAGTAGTTTTATAAGCAAGCTTTTAACTAAAATTAAATTTATGAAATTGTTCCTTGTTTCGCAGAAAATTAAGAAATATATTAACTTACCTTTAACATTATTAACAGCATGTAATTTTGTGCTCCTGTATCCCTTATTCATATAACTGAAATGAAAAGAAATATGTAAAATGATTAACAATTTTGGTAAAATTTGTATTTCCTTTTTTACAACTCTAACTAATTGATGACAAATTACATTTTGTGAGTAATCCTAACCAGTATCACTCCCCATTTCATAGGGTATTCTAAACATCCATTCCTCTGGACCACTTTTTTCTCTCGTGTTTGAGTTTGTTTTCGTGCTGACCAAATGCAAAGTGCAAGTCCAAGGCAGCCTGACCATGTACATTGACACTTTGATATGATTGCCAGAGGAGCGGAGATACGAGAAAAGTGAAGGAAATTGGGAGGTGTAAAGCAGTCAGGGAGGTGGAAAGCGGAGAAGTTGGCAGACAGACGAGCAGAGGAATCTTGTGGTTAGTTTGGCCAGCCAAAGTTTCATTTCGGACCATCTTCTACACAACACAGTTTACAACTTCTGGTCAGTTCATCGTGTTCAGGCATGAAATGACGTTGCACAAAAATCGCTCGACAAGGTGGAGCGCTCTTAAAGGTGCAAAAACTTTAAGTGGAGCAAAATACACAAAATACACAAAGTGACAAAGTTGATGAGGCGTTCTTTCTGGGCGTTGGAAAATTAATTTTCGGCTGGCTGGGATGGCATTCAACTCATCGTCAGCTGCCTTCGCCCCCAACCGTTCCCCTTTTGTCCGCTCACTTGTCTGCCTTTGTTGTGTGACTTGTAACTTTAGTTGTTGTCTGGGGCACTCACAATTTCGCTCTAAAGTTTAATTTCAACGCTTGACTTGGAAAGTTTTTTTTGCAACCAGACAGAGTGACAGGATACACGGCTGAAAACCAAAACAAGTTTAATTCTTTTTAGTTTTTAAACACGATATTTCTAAATCATAGGTAATAATCACCAGCTATTATACAAAATAAATGTTTTCGTTTAGAAATGCATTTATTTAACTTTTTCAAATATTTGCGTTAAATATTTTAAACTCTTTAAGAGATTGTCAAGAATGGGACCTTTTAAAATGTGTTTAAATACCGAATGGATGTACAACATATGTGATATATTTTCTCTCTGTATAGAGTCAGAGTTTGAGGCTTCAGCAAAAGTCGAGCGCGAACTCAAGCTGAAAACTCCTTCTGGCCAAGTCGACACAAATTGCTGCAAAGTTTTTTGGCATTCAAGTGTTTTAATGTCTCACGACGACGAGTTGTTGCGGAGTCACAGAGCAAAGCCAGAACGAGCAGACTCTTTTCCGTACTCCACACATGAATTAATCAAAGAGCAGCTGCAGTTTGTGTGGCATTAAGTACCCGACTAGGAGATGTGGGTGCGCAGGTGGGTTAAGACCGCAAGGCGGTGGCGCCGCTAGACAAATTCAACTTAATCAATTTAAAGTGCTCACCGCAAAGTCAACAGTTCAAACTAACCGCAAGGCGGGGAGGTTGAAAAGCAAGGCAAACACACTGTCCGCCCCCGTGGCCCTTTTGGCCCAGTGTTATTAGGCAAATTGTCGCCACATAGATACACACTACCACATATATATACACACACACAGCAGGTTGTCGTTGACCAACAAGTGACCAAGGTTCAGTTTTACCCCCCATTGTCCTGCTGACTGCGTATCCCTTACACTTTTTTCCAGGCAACTCCTTCCCCTTTGTTTGCCAACGTGTATTTGTGTTTGCTCTGCTGTCAACATTGGAAAATTATGAAAATTAATATGAAAATTGTTGCTATTTACGACTAGTTTATCCTGAAGTGTGTGCGTGCCGTGGCTGCCTCTTCTTGGGTTTCAAGTGAGGCAATTGTTGGTTTTAGATTTAATTACTTGAGTCAACTTGAGCCCTTATTTGATTGAGTATTATGTGACATTGAGCCCACTCTGCAAGGGGTTTCAATTAAGCCAAGCTCACGCATGGAAAGGGGGGTTTTTTGTCCTGCCATCCCAAACAATGAAATCTTAAGTAGCCTGCGGATGCGAATCGATTGAGAACCCTACTATAAAACAAAAAAAGAAAAACGCACCACACACTCGACATTTGCATCTTTGACAGCTCTATTGTTGATCCTCCTGCATTGCATTTGCAATAAAAAGCCGAGGGGGAACTGCATTGATTGCACTGCAGGATAAAGGACTAACGCAGGACCTCTTGAAGGCAGTCGAAGATGTAAATGGTTCGTAAGTGCGGAAACCTTTGAAGTTCAAGCTCTTTTCACTAATATATAATAATATTTTTGATATCATAGACAAATCAATTGCAATAATTTTTATTTGTTTTTTTTTTTTTTTTTGTTTGCTTTTGCTTTGGGAATTCTCCGTTTCCCAACTAACTAATCCAATCTAAATGCACAATAAATTCCAAATTTCTCTAACTTAATTAAAATAGAGACACACAAACTAAATCCCTTGTAATAAATTCCCTGACAGCATTTCAAAACAATAAAATCATAATTTCCAGCCTTAAAATTGAACATCATGTCATGCATATCACAGGAGCTCAATAAATTCGTTATATTTTCAAAGCCACTTAGGAGGAGTAATTTTTATTGTTCGAGCAAAACTAATCCCATGTCCATTGTCAACGCTGGCGCTCAAGACACTTAAATGCAGATTATGCATGTCAAATGGAAGCCCACACTTCAAAATCAATTAGCAGAAGCTTTTTTTTTTTTTGTATTTGAAAAATCGAGGAAAAAGCGGAGCGCAAACATGTGGGGGCCAGAACTGAAGTTGCCATTAAATGCTCGATTATAATGACAATTGACGGCTGCAATAAAACCGAATTGCCCCGTCAAATGCTCAACCAGCTGGACTTAAAGGCCGGGCTTAGGTTAGATGAGCTTCACTTAACGCTATACCCTATCCTCTGCCACCTCTGCCTCCCGTATTTACTGTCATAATTTATATGCATTTATGAGACACGCCTGGGCAGAGACGGTTTTTATGGCAGTTTTATTTCCTGTAGGCAAATAAAGCAACTCGCCATGTGAGCGGCATTCGAAACTTCAGCTTCATTATCGCGTTATCGCTACCTCCCCAAACCGCTTTTGCCCCCTGGCTGCATTATCATGATTGCTGTAGTAAATGTTTTTTATTTATTATTATTTACAAATGCATTAAACACAATATTTAATTGCATCATAAAAAAAGCGGCAGTCTGTCTGGCCCAATATAAAAACCCTATGTCCCTTCTCTTTCCTTATCTATTGCCCACTCCCATTTTTGATAGCAATTGAACTTCATTGTAAACAGTGGTCTCGCTAAGTGGAGGAAATTTGATTTGGTTATAGAGCTATTATTTGGGAAAATGTCGTTTCTCTTTGCAGTTAATTTAACATTTTATTTTATATAATAAAATATTTTAAAAACAGAATTTTATAGCACTTTTTTAATATTTTCTAGATGTCTAGAAATGTTTTTTATCAACATTTAACGTTTCCCCAAAAATAAGTGCCAATTTATAGCATAAGTATTTCTAAACAACTTTTAGAATTATTATCCCATTAACCACTGTACCTGATTCTAGGTGTTCCGCTTGTGTGTGTTCGGTCTCTGTTTATATTTGTCTCTGGTTGTTTGCATAGTGCAATGCTTATCGCAAATGCTTTTCCTATATGCGTGTGATATTTTTATGAGTTCTTTCGACCCTTGGATTTGCCCCTTCTATTTTCCAGTTTCGATTTTGGTTGCCTAGTTGCTGCCGTTGCTGTTGCTGCTGCTGTTGCTGTTGCCGCTGTGTTTGCTGTTCACAGTTTTTCGTTAATATTTACACAATTGACCCTTTCACACCCGAAAACTCATTGAACTTCATCAGCAACATCTACGGCAGCAACAGCCATAGCAATAGCAGCAACAGCAACATGAGGAGATATTGCTCACGTACAGGCCCCCACCCTGAAAAACCCTGGCAGTTGGAGTTCAAGTCTTTGGGCTCAACTGTAAATAGTCATAAATGTTTTGTTTATGTTTACAATTTAGCTGCTGCTCCTGCCGATGTTGCTGTTGCTGTTGCAGTTAAAGTTGCCTTTGATATTGCTGCAGTTGCTCTTGCTGTTGTATCTGCTGTTGCACCGTGTTCCTGCCGCAGTTCGTGACTTCTCTAATGTTGTTGACGTGGTTGTTGCAACATGCTTCCCCATTGCTCTCGCCGCGGCCTAAAGATTTCTGAATTGGTAATGGAGCATGTGCAGTTCAGTGAGGTGAGCTGCATTTTATTGCTATCTAAATCGCTGACTCTTAGCCATGTATGTGAGCTAACAACGTGGTCCGCGCGCTGTCTCCGATTTTTATTTGCTTTTAATTTGACTTGAAAACGGGGCTTAAATGTCAAGAGTTGTTCGGCTTGTAATCCACATAAGCACACCGCTCTGCGCTTTTGTTATTAATGTATTCAATTAAGTAACGGAGCGACAATCAAACTCATTTTGCCTATGGTGGGTTAAATGCAATGTAAATAGCCCAAAGTCCCACTAAACACCATTATTATGGCCAGCGACGAGCAACACAAATAACTGTCGAACAACTAAAACAAAAACTCCATCGAGCCACATTAAAAGCATCATTAAATAAATTATAGAACAGGCCCAAAGCAATAATGACTTAAAATACCAATAAATCTAACATGAATTTCGTAATGTAAACAAAGCTTAATTCATTTGTTGTTTTAGTTGTTTTTTATTAAGTATTTAAATGTTGAAAAAGAGGATAACAGTTAAGCCTAATGAAAGTCATAAATAATAAACAAATTCAGAGGTTAAACTAATGAAGCTCTGGGCTAAATGGTAAATTTAGAAGAGCTTAATGGGAATATGGTGGGAACTAAAATTATGCTCTGTTCGGTTAACTAATGTAATGTTCTGCTCGGTTAACGGAGAAAAAACATTAAATAAATAGTCATTTTATAAATAAAAAAATACTGTCTATTCCCTCTTATTTTCCTAAATTCTTTGCCATAACCTGCACTTGGCATTTAATTATCAATTAGCTAGGCCACATCCTCTCGAATTTCGACACAAGCTTATAAATATTTTAATTAATTTACATTGTCATGCATTTTTAGAGCAATTCTTTTGCCAGGTGACAGTCAGGCAGTCACTTTGTCGAATTCAGTCGCTGATATGTGGGATATAATTTATGCAAACTGTTCACATTTAAAATGCCTCCGCGGGAGAAGCGTGAATTTATTTATAATTTATATGGCAATTAAAAACTAATATTGTCAACTCCCACGCTCTCTGCAATTCAATTGCAAATTTATGCAAATTTTTAGTTTCAGCACAATGAGCGGGCGCCTTTGACAAATGTTTGTAGTTTTCGGATTTCGGGTTTTTATTGCATTTTTGATGGCAACTCGGTTGGCATAAATTAAATAATTAAGTTAATTCTACATACGGACAATGTGATTTTAATTATTTAATTCGAAACTCAGCATAACTTATGCTAAATTGTATTTTATTTTGTTTGTCCATTGCGTTTCGAATTTGCTTTGCTTTGCTCACGCTGTCTGACTCATCAGCGTCGATGATTAATGATTTTTAAAATGCCGCTCATGATTTAGATAAACCAAACTGAACGATTTAGTCTGCTTTGTTGTCTGTCTCTCCTTTGTTTATATTTCTGTTTGCATAATTAATGTCGCACGCATTTGTTACAAGTTTTGGTTATTTGTCTTGCTCTCGGATTAATTTGCCCCACCATCTAATTTGGTCTGATTGGCTGGAACTGAGTCGAAAGGGGCTTAAAGTCTTCTCCAGTCTGTCGGTGGGCTTAACAACTTTTTGACTGCCATTCGATAAAGTTTGAGTAGCGATAATGACATTGAGCTCGGGCGGAATTATCAAGAAAAATGAATTACAGAAATATTTTTACAAAATGCTTGAACATTCGTTTTTGCTTCAGGCAAAGTTCGTTATTATAAAGTGTTTTTTATAACAGTCGATGATCATTCATTTCGTTGCTAATTTTAGCTGGAACTATCCACTGAGTTTTTTGTTTCATTGATTAAAAGGTGTGAAAACAAAATCATTCAACTGAATCGGTCTTTAAAAATTTGTTCCCCTTCCGTGAAGGTTGTATCATAAATGTTATTTATATGACTTTACGTGGGTGCGACTTCTATGGTCTTCTCCGCGGAGTGTGAAGCTACTCGAGGTTCCTAATTAATATAAACCGTTTGTGAACTAACACCGAACACACCGCTGGAAGCACCCCTTCGGTGTTTGGCATTTCCTGTAATTTGTCGGGCGCGGAAATTGCCGGCTTGGGTTATTTTTTTTCGGGCCTTGTTGCATATTAATTTAAATATAATTATGATAATTTTTATTGTCAAGTCCGCAGAGTGAAGCGTCTTGCCACATGCTTCGCCTTGACTTTACGGAATGCCCTGGGCAAACAACCCTTTTCTACCAGCAAAAAGGATTAGTTATTGAGTTATTTTCACAACTAAAGTAACGACAGGCAGCCGGGCAGAAGGCAAACGAACCCAAGCCCAAGTCCCACCAACTGACGCGGTTCAACAACATCTTGTGACTGACATTTGTGCGTCAAATTAAGTGAACTCTTTTTTTCCCATGAGGAGGATCTGCAGTTGGAGGTAGAGGAAAAGGAGGATGAGGAGGAGCACATGGTCAAGTCGAGCTTCCTGCCAGCCAGCCAACCTCGATCCCTGAGTGACTGTGACTGTTGTTGTCTTCGGCCTGTCCCCTGCATTGCGTAAACTATAATTAATAACAAAACATGTTATGGTTATGGCTGCCGCTGCCGCTTCTGCTTCTTTTTCTTTGTGTGTGCCTGAAAATTGTTTCTTGTGCCCCGAGCCCAAGGCATGAGGCCACAATTCACCCATACTGGTACACAAAAGCGGTTCTGGTTCTTCGGCTTCGTCGGGTTTCAGAAATCCAGAGACTAAGACTGAAGAAGATCCCAGAAGAAGAGTTTTCGGGCTGCACAACATATGTTATGCATTTTTTAGTTGTCTTCGGCATTCAAAAAATTATGTAGCATTTAATTAGCGCATAATTGCAGCCGCAGCGTCAGCTTCCAGGCCACAGGCCTCATCAATTTCATTCGCTGGCGTGTTGAAAATCTTCAACTGAATAATCCGCCCGGCAACATATTTTTGAATGGCAATATACTTTGCTCACTAAGCTCAGAATACTCTAGCTACCGGTTTTATTTAAGATTCATTTATTTTTAATTATAAAGAAAAAATACTTACAATTTGTCAAGTAGTAAAATTTAATTTTGGACTTAGATCATCAATACTTTTGGCATCAATATCTAAAAGAGAAAATTACATAATTAATTAGCTAGGAAAACCAAAGTAAATAATTAAATCACTGAAATAAATATTTGTTTTATTTTCAAGAAAAAGTCGAAACTTTTTATGAAAATTAGATATTTTCAAAGGCAATCATTTCCAAAAGGGTATTATAAAAAAATAACAATAATCCGAAGCCCCTTTACGAAATCCACTTGCTACTTAAAGGGCACACCCTTGCAGAAACGCCAAAAAACAAAAAAAAACAAAACTGTCGCTTGTCAAAATGTCTGCAACTCTGTGAATTCAACTCATTCTGCTTCTGCCTTCTGTGGACGCGTCATTGTCTAAGGATGCAATTGCCGAGGACGACGACGCACAAGTTCAAAAGCAGTCAACAGTTCCGCTCGCCTGTTCGAAACTCCGGCGTCGTCATCCTCTGCCACATCGTCATCATTACATCATCATCGCCCTTATCCTTGGCGAATTTCATGCCTTGTCGTTGCAGTAGTTCCTTGTGGCTTGGCAAATACTCAACAAACCATGAAAGTAAATAAATGTTTTGCAACGTTGCAGAAATAAAATGCAATTTAAGTCACACAAAAATGGCTAACAACAGCACATAAAAAAAAAATTCCAAAACTTCTGCATGGTCTTTGCAATCACTCTTATACAATTATTATCTATAAGGTTATTTAATAATTATATATTATTTAGTAAATCAATTTTATGCATGTTTGTTTTTGAAGTTTTGTTTTAATTTTGAATTGAATTGTTTTGGAAAAAGTAATTTATTGAAAAATTTGTTAGATAAACGATTTCTTATTTTTTTTCCTGTGCAGAAACGAAAAAGTATCTGGAACGTTGCAGTTCACCGAGGAGCCTGGAAAACTCCAGGTCCTAGCTGCATTCGTGGTTCGTCCTTTTCCATTTTGATTTGTTTATTTCGTTTCGCTCGGCTTTTATTTTGTATTATTCGTGCTGCTGCGCTGCTCCTTTTGCCGTGGCAGTTAAAGTAACCGGCAAAAGCGTTCCGGGGGCTTCGAACTTTTGCATTTTATTTGTGTTTTTCTTTTCTTTTATTTCGTGTTTTTGTTTTTTGTTTTTACTCGTTTTGGCACAAAGAAAAGTGAAATGTTTTTGGGCGGTTGGGTTTCGCTTTGGATTTTAGAAGTTCACGGGTAAGAGTCGGCGGCAGCATCGTTGCAATTGCATTTCCACAGACATTTAATAGCAACAAAAAAATGGAAAACGCTTTAAAATAATTACATGCGAGAATTTTCTCCACAGAACAAACAATGCGAGGAGGAGTAATCGCACAAAGTCGAGAATGAATCACCAACTGGCATCATTCACTGTCGAAAAAAGAGGATTTAGGCAGGAGAGCACAAAGAGACAGAGCGCCGAAACGAATTAATGGATCAACGATCTTATCAAGTGAGTGGAGCGAAGCCAATTGAGCAGAGTGCAGTGTGATATCTGTTCCTAAACTAATCCTCTTACGGTGAACACTCGGTTACAGGTACCTGCATTTTTGAGCTGAGAAGTTGTAAGCAAGTATTTGAATTTTCAGGCATTTTCTTTTATTCTGGTATTGTACCTGGAACCACCTTATCTGTATGATACATTTCAAGTATGTAATATGGAGAAATGTTGCTAAAAAGATGATATAATGTGGTAAGTAAGGATCATTTAATAATGATATACTATTTATTTATTTAATTTTTAATTTTTATTTTATAATATGTAACGCATTTCCTGTTAAACATGAGTTGATACCAATAAAATTTAGTGCTGTAGTGCAACTAAAACTGTTGGGAAACAAAAATGTGGTACAGAATCTGATACACTTGTACTCTACATGATTATTTCCCTCTTCAATCAGCCGTATCCATTACACATCCGCCCCAAGCTGTGAATGATTTAAGTGATTTGGTGCGCCTATTGTATTATTTTCACCACCCCTTTCACCCCTCCCACCACCATTCAACGCCACTGAAATGCAGAAGAACTGCAATAAAACCAAATAAAAACAAAAAATACAAGAACCAAAACAAAAAGTGATGAAAAAACAACAGAAAAACATGAAGAAAAAGTGCAGCGGCAAATGCCAGACGAAACGGAACAATAATTAAAGCAATGGCAAAAACAACAGCAACAACAACTCGAAACACAAAATAAACAAAAACATCAACATCAGCAACAGCAACAACAATAACAACAGGAAGAGTAACAGGAGCAACTGAGGAAGAAGCAAAAATGCACCAAAGCTACGCTCTCTTTTTGAATGAGATGATGCGGGTCCATCCTTATATATACAGGATATATAGGGTGGGATGGTTTCAGGGATTCCCAAAGGGTTGCAAGATGCAGTCCAAGGTCTGTCCTCCATAAAACGATGTCGTTGTCGTCCTTGTATCTCATAGATACACAAGGTATATGGCTTTGAAGATGACTTGGTTAACAGGTGGAAAAAAAGAATTCCAATTAGATTTATTATCTATTATTTTTCAAATACAGCATACTGAATATAAAATTCAATAAATTTTATTATAATTTATTGCGAATGCAAAAAATTAATTTCCATGAAATAAAAATATGGATTTTTGCGAAAGAAATGCTCATTAAATATAGACGTATAATAAATAATTTTAAGGTATTTCCAAGTCGTAGATCTCTACCATATCTTCCTTCCTTGATTTTGTTTGCTGCTTGTTGTTTGGTTGTCATTGATGCCCCCGTCGTTGTTGATTTGTTGTTGTTTTTCTCTGATGAGCCTGCAAAGCAGCGCCAAGGCAAAAATCAGTGCAAAAGGCGACGTCGCTGGGTGTCGTTTGCAGACAACTTGAAAAACATGAAAACGCGAAGGGGTGTCCCGCTCCAAGTCCCCTATATAGAACCACCTCCCCCTAGTACCTACCCCTCCCGCTTTTCCTATTGACAGTCACGTCAGTTAAGCTGCTGGGAACACACACGCAGTTGCGAAGATGACACAGTTGTGGTCAAGGTAATAGCACGAGAAATGATTTTTCAGGAAAATATAAGAATTTTAATATTTAAATTTACTAAGCGGTGTTGCATATTGTTGTTAACTTTGCTGTCGTGAATTTGTTTGTTTATTCCGCTCCATGTATATTAAAATAAAGATTTCTTTAATTTAATTAGACAATAACATTTAAATATATTATACGTGTGATTATAAAAAGCTAACCACTTTGTGGACATGCTTCACATAGTTACTGTTATTAATATCAATATTATTCAACATAGTAGGATTAAACTAACAAGTTAAATGAGACCCTCCAACACATTTCATAAAAGTAAGCTTTTGTGCTATTATTGTGACCATAGCTGCAGATATGATGGGTCGAAGGAAGGGGAAGACACCCAGAGATTTCCCAGACAAGCAGGTGGCAAAGGCTTCGGGCCAGCAGAAAATCATGAGGCCAACATCATGAGCCAGCTTCGGTAATTGCTGTCCGGGCCAAATGCAAATGCTGTTGCTGTTGCTGCTGCTTGCGTGTCTAGATTGTCGATTCCTCGACTTGGATGCTGCACTGGTGCATATAACATAGTGCTGCCCTCGTCCCTGCTGGTCTCGAATTATGTTGTTCTTCTCGGGAATTGGTTTGGCCTTCTGACAGCCTTCCCCTCCTCTCTCCGCCCTCCAACCGCCCTGAAGAAACACCACTGCCAGCCTGTGGATGCAATATGATTTCAATTAGTACCATTCGTTAGTGAGTGTGGCACTCAGAACTGATTATGGCAGAGTTTTACAAATGTGTTCTTATGCTGAAAACAACCAGAAATGCTGTTTTGAAGATGATGGTGTCATTTGGTAGATGTTTTTGTTAATTATAAATCTCTGTTAAACGTGTTTATCGATTTGGGAAAAAGTACAAGCTAGTACCAATTCTAAAAATTACATTTTTATTTCGAGTTTTTAATCTTATATTATTTATATTTTAAATATTTCCTTACTTGAGTCTCGAATCTACGTTTATTAGAATTTGTTTTTTACTTACAAAATTTATTTATTTTTAATATTCAAAAACTTTTTAAATAAAGTAAAATCCGGCAATAACGAATGCAATGAAATTTATTATATAATTCAACTTGAAATGGGGCTTAGACAAACACTGTATAGCCATCTTTTTTTTACCGTCCCCCAGCGGAAGGCGAATTATTGCTTTAAACAAATTTATTTATAACCCAAATTAAATAACTCAGAGCAATGGACTTGACTCCGGCTGCCACTAAATTTGCTAGGCGAATGCAATTTGCAGATTTACTAACCCCCAAGCAGCAGAAAGAGCGGGAGCCGGAGAAGAAGTCGGAGCCGGACTTGCAGTTGGAGAAAATTGCAATTGCAATTACCAAAGCGGAGAAAGGGGGTAAACGGGAAGCTGGTACAAGGGGAGATGGAGAGAGAGCAGCGCCATGCCACGAGTAAAACAACTAAACAACGCCGAGCGACGACAGTTTGACTTGCAATTTTAGCTGCACCAGCAGACCCCAGCAGCGAAATCAGCGAAACCGTGGCCGCCGCATCATCCCCATCATCATCCGCACCGTCATCATCATCCTCATCAAAGGAATCATTATTAACAGCATCATCATTAACCAGTAAGTGAGGCAAAGTCGCGTTTTTGGACTAAAGGATACCCGGTCTTGCAATTTAGTTTGGCTCTATAATGTATTCAACATAAAGTTTGGAGCCAACTTAAAAAGGTCTCTTATTTATAAAGACAATTGCTAAGATACATTCATTTGTTACACAAATATCTAATACAATTTGAAAATGCAGTCTCGGAATTTTTGACTATTCCAATATTACGAAACAAATATTTCGCATTTGTATGATATCACATGTTTTCAACATTATTCTTAAACTATTTCATTTTTGAAAATTACACATGTTAGCAACACATGTTATTATCGTGGGTAAATCTTCATATAATCAAATAAGGTTTTTATACCACTAAGTTCTTTCATCTGACCATTACATTCTGATGGTCAAACGCAATATACCCTTGTAATCCTCGAGGACTTTGGGTACGAAAACCGCGCGCGTCTCAACCATATCCATTACAGCCAGAATAACAGGAGGAGCAGGAAGAATGGTGATGGGAATGCGAACGGGCCCAGGAATGGGAATGGGAATGGGAATGAAGCGATGTGGAGCACAGAGGGCCGAGGACAGCGAGTAGTTGTTGGCCCTGCGGCTGCCCGGCCTGGCCAAGTTTGCGAGAAAATCGATTTCAGCTCTGACTGCGCTCGCACGGGCGGCCTTTTTGGATGCGAGTGTCCAGGTTTCAGGTCCAGCTTCAGCTTCAGTGCAAGTCCGAGTCCGAGGCCCAGTCACAGTCCCATTCGCAATTCCCGGTCCACAGTCAACAGTACCATTCCCACTCCCGTTCAGATTCCCCGTTGGGGAGTTGCACTCCTGTTCTTCCACAGCGAGAAAAACTAAAAGTAAAGTTTTCGAAATTGGTAGGAATGTTTCTTTAATACATGAAATCGCGTTTACAATTTTTGATGAATACTTTTTCTTTACTAAATGAAAGGTTAGCATTTTCTTTGTATAAATTGAAAATATTTCTTGTCTTATTAGGATTAAAAACATGTTTTCTTAGATTTTTACAGCTTTACATCCCCAAAAACATTAATTATTTTAGTGTGATAAACAAAAGATGAAAGCTTGTAGTTCTCGACTTTCGCAACGTTTCTACAATTAAAATATCGATTTTTTAAGGATTTATCCTATTGATTATTCAGTTATTCTGCCATAACGTATTTAAACATTTATTTAAACATATTTTAACATTTATAATGATAACGGGTACTTGTAGTACTCATAATCCCAGCTCCTTATATACTCGATTATATTTACGAGGCTTTTATTTTTGCTCAGTGTCCGTCTGTTTGTTTGTTTGTCGCTTTTAATGCTGAACGGAGCTGGCGGAGGCGACTCTTGACTGATTTTTATGCTTTTGGCCCAATTGCCCCGCAGTAGCCGCGCGGTTGAGAGAGAGGACTGTGATGGGCATCGAATCGACCGGTTCTCACTCTTCACCCTGGCCACCTACCTACCTACCTACCTTCCTACCAGCCTACCTACCTACCCTTTAGACCCCCTCGATACCACCCATTAGCGGCCCTTTGTTTGACTTGCAGTTGCAATATAAGGTCATTCCTCTGCTCTTGTTCTTGCCGGTGTTTTTGTTGCAGTTGCACGCTTTTCGTTTCGTTTGATGGCTGCGCGCACGCGGCCTTTTGTTAGTTTTCCCCATCCAATTTCATTTTTTTTCATTATTATTATGCTTTTTTGTATACTCTTTAAGGGAACAACATCAGCGAAATCGCAGTCTAATCACTTCATTAGGCGGAGTCTCCCACCGCTTTTGGCCATGTTAACACGTTGTTCGGCTGCAAGTTGCACGAACTTGCACGTAGAGTGCGAAAAAATGGTCTTTAATTGAAAAGTGTGGGAAGAGTAAACACTGCTGCGACTTTTGCTTTCTTTAAGCTGTTTAAAGGGGTCCTTTGGTTATTTTTTTAGCCCTATTCACTTTTTCGCATTTTGTTTTATAAATTTGTAATCACTACTAGCTTTGTAAATAACTTTAAAGAGTCGATTTAAGAACAATTTTGTAACATTAATAGTTTAATTGTACACTTTTTAAGTCCGGAAACCGTTTTAATCTCGCTACTTTTAACATATCTTCGCAAAAATCTTACACAACGTAATTGTAGATATTGTATGCTATTACTTAATAACTCTGAATAATAGTGTAAATTAAAAGCTATGCTTTATGTAAATTTCATTTCCATCAATTAATTGTTGGTAATTGCAGACTTTGTAGACATACAATTAAATGTTGGTTACCAACAACTAAATAATTAAATGCCTAATTGGAGGTATTAAAATGTTCAACACTGAATGGATAACTTGAAATATAAAAACTACTTTCAAATATAGCACAAAACTTGAGGCTTCTAATTTGCTAACCCGCATTGTATTTGCTTAAAGTTTTCTCACAATTGTGAGGCGAAGTGGCATCAGCTGCTTGCTGAGGAGGCTCCCGCTTCGACTCCGCTCGCTTATCGCATAATTGGTAGCAATGTTGGCTGCCACTTTTTGCCGCGGCTTCTGTGGCTCTCGAACCCTGGGCTCTGCGCGCCGTATCCGTCGCATTCCGGAGATGCCGGCAAAACACTTGTCAGCGACTTAAATGGCGCGCAGCTGTGCGGCATTAGCTGGGGAACTGAAAAGCCGAGGAAGCTGACTAGCTGGGGAGCTGCAAACTGGGATCTTGGGGGCCAGGCGAGGTGACCAAGGAGACTGGACACACCTCTTAAGGAGGTGTTGCGACTACTGCTGCTGCTGGACTCCAGGAAGTGCGGGGAATACGGTGGTGCAAGGCGGTACGGTGGCGACATTTGATGTGATTATTGAGTTATGCCCACGGGGGCAGGTGCCTGGCATATTTCGCTTAATTTTCTGATGAAGTTATTCACAGAGATATGGAACGCAGCGAAAATGTACAAGTATTATAAGCAGAGATAAGCGGGCGAACAGGAACGCGAAATAAAAGGCAAAAACAAGGTCTGTTCGTGAGATTTAAAAATAATCACTTTAATGTCCCAAAGTCAGCAATTTAATGTTGTATTTTGACATTGCCTCGACAGGTGTTTAAAAAACGTTTAAGTTACTACGAGTCGGGCAATAACTTTTACAATTTAAAGCAGTTTTAATTAACACAGAAAATATTTATTTCTTGTCAATTTGGTGAATTTATTCACAAAGATAGGGACACAATTATTTGTAATAAACATTTATTTATAAGAGATAAGGGGGGATTATTGTTAAATCTCTTTATATACATTCAAAATATTGACTTTAATGTTTGATTGCACACGTATATATTCTCATTTTAACATATTAAATATTAAAAACATGAGCACAAAAATAATTATGTACATTGATTGAACTGAAACACTGCTGCAATTAGAATTTCTTTTTTTTTGGCAGTTTTAATTAAGTTAATCTTTATTAATGTTCCCAGATGATATCTAAAACTAATACTAATATTCATGTATTTGCATTAAACAGCCATTAATAAGAATATTTTTAGACAGGAAAAGCAAAAGAATTCTTGTATTGATATTATTTAATGTGCAGTATGTGAAAAATGAGTATGCCTAGTATTTCAAAAATTACTAAAATATTCAAAGATTTGGTTTTTGAAATGCTTTAGCCTAGGAACATAATATAACTACTTAATCAATTAGTTAGTAATTAAGTAATTTTTTTAATTAGTTCGATTCTCTAGGTCAACGAATTTGAAATGGACAATTTGAAAAGGTTATACTTTAAACGACATAAGGAAGCAGTTGCATAAGTCATTAACATTTGTCAGGAATCCGTGGCCAGCAACAACAAATCGCCGGCAAAGAGTCAGAATTAGAAGAGAAACACAGAGAAGGAACGAAAACAGCAGGCACTACAAAATCATCAACAACGACAACTACAACAACCCCAGAGGATGAGGATAGAGTGGAAATGGAAAGGGAATAAAAACATAAAAAAGCGGCACAGATTGCCGAGAACAACAACTAAACACGGGCGAACACACACACACACACACATAAACACAATTTGAGCACTCCAGCTGGGCTGTTGTTGTTGTTGCTATTTCTTTCTCCTTTTGCCCTGCAATCAATAAAACGGATTAGGAATATCCTTTAAATGCGGCGCTTGGTGGAGGCTGCAAACGCACACCAAAATCTCCCTCTCACACACACATGCTGCAAATCCCTTAAAAATATCACATATAGAAGGAATAAGAGTGGCGGCACTTACTTTTCGTTTTTTTTTTTTCGTAGAAGAAATTAGGAGATGGGATGGCAATTGAAGGTGGAGAAAAGAACGGTAAGGAGAAGACGAAAACAAAACCGAAAAACGTACACTCAAACACGCACACAAACACACAGAGCGAAAGATTTACCGTTCTGTTACGCGACGCGAAGATGCTCAAAATATTTGACGATGGAAGGCAGGGAGAAAAGGGAAACGATATTATTATTTTCAACTTTATCCGTATCCCTATTTACTCCAATTTTGATTTTGTCACTTGCATCACAGTTCTGTTCTCCTTTTCCTAACTAAAGTAACTATTAAAAATGCAATTTAAATGCTTGTTGTTGTTGCCAGGAGAGGAACACACACGACGTTTAAAATTAACAAATTGCTGCCGGTTTGTGTCTGATTTTCGTCTCCGTTTTGTTATCACGATTCCTTGATGGTTAATGGTAAATGGTTATTGGTCAGCCTGTTTGCTTATTAAATGCCTCGTTTTGGCTACCGTTTTCGATCACACAACACTTGCTCCTGCTTTCAGTTTTCCACACAATCGTTTTGCCGGCTTTTTCAGTTTCTTACACGACGCAGCCGTGTTTCAGCCGCTCAAGCTGAATTCCAAACGCGTTTGGCGGACACATCTACTCGCGGCGAAAATTTTTTTCAACTTCGGCGCAGCGGTGGATGTGTTTCGTATATATATTTGAGGCCCGATCTAAATCGACACCATTTAGGTCTTTTAGTACATTTGGTCGCTTTCAGAGCGCAAGCGCGGTCCCACTGCACTCTTGCTCTCCCACTTTCTCTCTCTCCCTCTCTTACTCGATTTAACAGAGTCCGAAACATCTGTTGAGCTAACAGCTGCTTAATCTAACATCACCCGATCTTCTGCCACTGACAGCAAATTGTAAATATCAGTGTTGCCAAATTAAAACTACAATGTTGGATTCATCATTTAGTGAAATAATTATTTAAGTAGCATTTCTTTTTTTTCAATGCTAATTAGAAATATGCTAATATTATAATAAATATCTAAATATAATTAATATTAAAATATTTTGTTGTTTGTTTCTCTTGATAAATAATAAATAAATAAATAAAACAGATAACATCATCTTTGAGTAACTTTAACTTTTAACGTAATAAATTAAATGTTATTATTAGCTGAGTGCACTTGAAACAAGGTGAGTGAAATTTTAAAACGCTAAATATGGCAAAATAAAGTTTTTAAGAATAACGCTGAAATTAAAAAAATTTTAAGTGGAAAAAAACAGGTTTTTCTTTTTAAAAGACATTTAAAATCATATCAAACTAGAATGATAAGAAATTTAGATCACCCGTCTTACAATTTTTTAGTACGCTCTCTCTACCCTGTTAACAGTACGTTGGTCGGAGCGAGATAGTTGCTGCCAGAGAGAGAGTTTTATGTTCAAATTCGGACTCTGAGAGCATGGGAGAGCGAGAGAACACAAAAACGTTGCCAAACGTTGCGCTGTGTTTGCAAGGAATGTAGAATTCAAGTAATTTTTGGGCAGCGACATGTAAAATTACATAAAAATATGTATAATACAGTGGGATTGGCAGGTGTTTGAAAATAACATTTCTGCATCCGATTTTCTAGATATTTAAAAGGACCACAGAGAAGAAATATTAATTGTTTTAGTTAAAAATATTTACATTTATTTCTTTCGTTTTTTTTTTAGGTTTCAAAAACCAATTCAGAAATTTCATTTACAATTTTTATTAGTTCAAGCTTTGAGCAATTTGTTTTGTTTTGAGTGGGTTGATTTCCGTATCCTGCGATACAGAGGGCAGCACGTTGGGCACCAAAGCAATCAGGATCGAAAATCCTGGATCCAGGAACATCCACTCCTGGGGATCACGTAAAAATACAGCCACAAATTTTGAGGATAGAGACGGGATTACAAATCACACGGCTGTGATTAGATGGGCATCATCCTCGTTGATCCGATCTGATTTTCCATTGACTTCGATCGTGTGATTCGACTCTGTATCGCTGGGCTCCTGTTCGATTTCCTCCTCCTCTTCGTTGTCATCATCTCCGTGGGAGGAGTTTTCCCCATTTTCCTGCTCCGGGGATTCCCGTTCTTCGTTTTCCTCGTAAATGACGTCACAATTGGTGGCTATCGATTTGGGCGGCGGTTTCTTCACCGGTTTGCCGCCCCCTTTGCGATTGTCACCATTTTGCTGCATCTCGGACATTTGCATCTGCATTTCCCGCAGGCGATCGGTGAGCACATACAAATCCCGCTCCTGGCTTTCGCATCGTGTCCTCAGCTCGGAAATCTCACGCAAATCCTCGGCTCGCGGGTCCCGCCTTTCGTATCGCATCCTCATCTCCTCAAACCTGTGGATATATGGGTTTTCAGAAAATTATAGTCATAAGTTACGGGAGAAGGGATATTTTAAAGTGGATACTGGATACTGACTTAGCGTACAACATCCCACAACACGGACAAGCAAAATTAAGAAAAGTATATAGGTTTAAAGAGATTCGTTCAAGTTCTTAAATCCATTTTTCTAAGAGATTCAATAAAAATTATAACAACTGAAATTACACTTAACAAATTAATTTTATTTTGGATATGAAATTTTTAGATTCAATGTCCCAATTTTTGAGAAAGCGATTTTAAATTATTTTAATTTAAAATTAATCTTAAAGTCTCAACAATAAGTTTCATTCGTTTCAATAATAGTAGATAATTATAATTTGAACAATAATTGGCTCATTTAGCTTAAAGGCTGGGATATATATCAAGAACTATAAGGATTTGTTATTAATAGTTTTTTATTTGTTTGGATGTACAATGGTCATCTATTATGCTAACTATATGATTGAGACTGAAATAAATAGCTTCATGTCAGCTTTTTTTTTTTTTATATATAACAACATAATAAGTTTTATATTTGCAACTTGTTTCGATCGAAAGATTTCTTTGAAAAATGTTTTATTATGTACTATAGTAATAGTATTCTACAGTAATAGTATACTATTTTATGAAATTAAGAACTTGAATTCGAAGATGATGTGGGTGGTTTTCGGTGGGGGAGGGGGGGGAAGGGCACTTACAGGTTGGTCAGGCAGCGGCACTTGCGGTGCAGCTGCTCGATCTCGTTGGCGTTGCTGATGTCGCGCTTGTCCAGCGCCGCCTTCTCGGCATCGTAGGCCGCCTTTAGGTCCTTGAGATTACGCTGGTGCCGAAGTTCTACATCGCTGCGGATGCGGATGCGGATGCGGATTCGGATGCCAATGCGGTTGCGAATATTGGGTTCGGATTCGGATTCGGTTTCGGAATCGGGTTTTGGGTTATTCAGGTTATATAGAGGTGGGCAGAGGTGGATACACACACATAGCGAGAAAAAGAAAGAAAATATTAAGAGAATTTTTCCGAAAGGGCAGAGTTTGAGAAGCTGCATTCCAGAAATACATATTTGTTTGTAGGTTTTGGAACACTCTACAGATAAAAAACAATAATATTTGGCATTCTACGCTAGTACAAAAATATTAGAAAACAAAACATAAGTTTGAAATAATGGATTTATCAATTGTAAACCAAAATAATATATGGTTGTTTTTTTTTATGGAAATTAAATAAGAACATTAACTAGGTATTAAAAATAAAGAACTTGTTTATAATAATTAAGTTTCCAATATGTGTTTATATATACTTATATATACATTTGCGAATTGTACATTTTTTAGGCTAAGCATGAGCTGATGTATTTTTAAAAGATTTTGAATTTTTTTTTTGTATTTAATGTAACACGAATTGATTTGAAAAACCAATTTTGAACAGTATTTAAGTGTTAGTAAATCAATAAAAATGGATATAAAAACTTATTTAATGTCATTTGAATGGCACTTCCAAGAAGTTAGGTTTTACTTTTATCCACTTTCATAAACCCAAGCCAATGTTTTTAGTCCCGTAGAGATTTCCAGAAAACCCTTTTTTCTAAGTTAAGGAACAAATCAAGCTTTAACAGGGGATATAATTTATTATTGGCGCACTAAGAGGTGGCGGTATTTGATATAGAGCACAGCGACAATATTGAACACTAAGCATGCAATGGCGATCAGCGGCGACATGGTCAAATATAGAACATATAGGGTTGGCATATACGGCCACGCCCCCTTGGCCAACGCCCACAGGGCCGGAGAGCTTGTCGATCGCCCTAAATGCTGATCCATGCTGTTCCAATGAATAAAATGTGAAACGAAAGAAACAGAAAACAAGTTCAAATGATAATGAATCGAGATCAGGGCCTCAAAGTTGACAAATGAGTAGGAATGCAGACATTCAATGCAAGCCAATGGTCGTCGGGCAATTTAGTAGGGAGCAGTGGTATTGGTACTTAAAGGTAATTATATTTATAGGGCGGGGCATGCTGGCCAAACACTCACTTGATTCGTTCATCGGCAGCGGCCATTTTCGCGCGATGTCGTTCCACAAGTTCCTGCAGCGCCTCATCCCTTTCCGCCTGCAACTTGGCCTTTTGAGAGTCTGTGTTGGTTAAAAGGAAATAAATATTGTATATGGGGTAATTAAACGGAGTCTTCATTTTAATAAACTACCAGAAGGAATATATTAATGATAAAGGGCCCATTTCCTAGTGTAAATGTAGGGTTCTTATATGTAATAAGTTACCCTTAGGTCACATCTTTCAAAAACACAAACTCCTTTTCTCAAAGTGGTTTTAATTCTGTGAACGTCAAAAATTTACTAGGAAGTTCTATCAACAATTATAAAAAAATTAGCTTCTAACAATTTGCCGTTTGTCAATACTGTAAATAATATTCTGCAGCTTTAAGTTTTTAGTTAGATAAACTCTTACTATTGTACAGTAGAGAACACCAGCAGTTAAACATAAATACAGAACATTAACTAATTAACCTCTTTTGGTGATATTTCGTTGAGTAAAGGTAAAATTAAGTAGATAGAAGACAAGTAGATATCCACTTTAATAAAATAAATAACATATTAAACAGCTTTTTTAATTTTCAATCAAAAAACTATGTCAAACTACAATCCTAAAGCTCTAAAGGTTTTTAAACGCTTTAAAAGGTTTCCCAAACTTATTATCTACGACGAAATTTTAAATTCTTTGAAATTTTCATAATATAAATTTTTAATATATATATATATATTATATGATATATTTTTGATATAATTTGAACATTTCTGTTCTATTCCAGTTAGATTCAAACTTATTTTTCCCAAAACTCACCCAGCTCCTTGCGATGCGAGTCGATCATGTCCTGCGTGGAGAGCTGCAGCTCCTTGGCGAACTCCTCCTTCACCTGGCCAAGTCGCTCCCGGAACTTCTCCTCCATGTCGGCCTTCTCCGCTTCGAACTCCTTTTTAAGTCGTTCCTCCAGCTCCAGACGACGATCCTCCTCGCGGCACATGGCATTCTGGTACTCGCGATCCGCTTTGTCCAAATGCATGCGGGTCTGCAGAAGGGCATTGTCGGAACGCTCACGCAGGCTGAGGAAATCCTGTTTCTTCAGCTCCAGGCTTTCGTGCAGATCCTCGATCTAGAGGGGATTTGACATTACATTTTAGTTAATTTAAGGGTGTTTTTGTAGTGCTTAAATAGTTACTTCAGTTCGCAGCTCCTCCTCGTTGGATGTGTATCGATTGGT